TGATAAGTGAGGAACCATCTATGCTCACTCCCTCCTAATTGCCTTTGTATTTCTAGGCAAATCCAGGAAATCTGGGGTGATGTCTCCATTCTTTGCTTTAAACAACACTGTCATTCTGCTGTGATCTCACATTTTGGTTTGGCTCCACACTTTATGCTGTGTGCTAGTGACTTCGCAGCTCCTCAGTCCACTGTCAGTGGGGGAAATACTCTGTTGTAATACAGTGTTCTGTAACCCAACATATTGCACTGTAAGTTACTCCAGCTAGCTATCACCGACAATCAAATAAACATGGTTTAAAAACACTTGTAAGGAAAGCATAGCTTTTGCTAAGCATAATTTTGAAAAAGCAAATGTTTTCCCCAAAAGTCATGAATGCATTCATTTGACCAAAATAACAAAACCCTAAATTTTTTACCTACCTATGATACAACATGTTTCTCTCCAATGATTTTTCTGTTGCAAATGATTTTTTTTTAAAGGAAGGGAATCTTCTCCCATAACAGAAAGATTCTGGCCAACAAAAACCAAAATTTTTGTCCATAGTTTTGTTCAGCCAAGGAATTTGCACTCGTCAAGCTCTGCCTCACACCCTGCAGAGCAATGATCCCACAGCAGGTTTCTATCTCCGTGGTGTCTCGGGGGAGTAGATTGCATGTGCCAGTAGGCTTTAATTTTATATCCTTCTTTTCAGTCATTAGTAAGTGTCTAAAAATCCTTTTCATGCTCAAGCTTTAGGAACACAGGAACTGCTATTTCAGATCAAACCGGTGGTCCATCTAGCCCAAAGAAGGGACGGCAGGAAGAAAGAACAGCCCCTCTGACCAGCACCACATGCCCTTTGGTGAGAAGAAGAAAGGAGAATTTAAGTGGAATTTAAAGCGGAATTTAAGGAAGGAAGCTGTGAGCAACCACCTCAATACACAGATTCCCTGGAAAAAGACATATATAACTTTAAAATCTCTCAGCATTTTCTGTGGCTGTATTGTATTAGAGAACTGAGTTTCTTGCAAATGCAAAGAAAAGGAAAAGAGTGCCTTTGGAAGAAAGACGTGTGGAAACAGGCTGGAGAAAAATTCCAGGCTTTGCTAGGTTGGCTCTGAAAGGAGGTTGTAGCGAGGTGGGTGTCGGTCTCTTCTCCCAAGTAACAAGCGATAGGACGAGAGGAAATGGCCTCAAGTTGCGCCAGGGGAGGTTTAGATTGGATATTAGGAAAACTTTCTTCACCGAAAGGATTGTCAAGCATTGGAAGAGGCTGCCCAGGGAAGTGGTTGAGTCACCATCCCTGGAGGTATTTAAAAGACGTGTAGACATGGTGCTCAGGGACATGGTTTAGCGATGGACTTGGCAGTTTTGGTTAACAGTTGGACTTGATGATCGTAAGGGACTTTTCCAACCTAAATGATTCTATGATTCTATGGCTCAGGTTCAGGGTTAGACTTGCTGCCACCTCCACTCTTTAGCATCTGTCATTTATATGTGTCATTTGCTCACTAACAAAGAAAGTGCTAATGTCTTAGCAGACAATCCTCTGAAGTGTCCCATGCCTGGAAACAAAATACTGTACTGATTTCAAAACCACACTGTTAAGGTCTTTAACTAAAGACTTTCTTGGAGGCAGCCCCTTGTATGCCACATACAAAGGGCTTTGTAATATGTTAAGAGTGGATGTCTCAACTGCTTGGTTAGAACTACTCAGAGGCTTTTGCTTGTGGAAGTCTGGCTTGGAGCTACTTATTATTTTACAGCAGAGGCATAAAAAGAATATAACCACACACTCAAATAAGCAAAAAGAAGCACTGTTGCAGAACTTATTATAGCATTACAGTAATGCTAAACTGAACAGTTCAGCCCTAAGTCCTTCTTTCCAGCTTTACACAGTCTCTAGAAATTCCTGTCTAGCCAGGATGCGTCATGCTTCAGGGACACACCACTAGCTCTGGTTCACAGGAAGGTGAAAAATCATCTGCAACACTAGTCCAAATGAAAAATTCTGTCTGGTCTCACATCTGTTAACAGGCTACCTCTTGCACAAAAGCGAGCCTCAAAGAGCAAAATGTGTATGTTAGGTAAAATAAATAAATTTAAAAAAAAATAATTCAAGCATTTGGCACCATCGATTTTGGGGCACTGAGCTGCACATGTTAACTACACCATATAAAACCAACATTTTTTATCTGGGTTTTAATTAGATTGCTTTTTCAGCTTCCTTGAATGCCCATGTCTTCTTTTGTTACAAAAATCAGTGAAAAGGAAGCCAAGTACATATTCCCTTTTATACATATGCTTTTGGGTACCATTACCATTTGGTACCTTCATTGAACAGTGGTAATATTTCATATTAGGGGAGCACTGAAAGTTAGTATCAAAGAGCTGGAAGAAACAAAACGTAAATCTGATTTTTATTATGCATGTTCTCTCCGTTGATAAATGAAGTTGCTTCTTGGATCAAAACTCTCTATCTGACTTGCACTCTGTGTACATTGAGTTTTGTACACAGAATGAAAGCAGTATAAGATGCATCCCATGTTTGGTTCAGTTTCGCACATTAATAAGGCTTAATCAAGTCCACACGCTCCCTCCCATCACCTAGGTGGAGAAAGACACAAAAGAAGCCCTCCAATTATTTCTCTACCCATGGTACCTGGAGATGTAGGGAAAGTGCTTATTTCCTTCTGCTTCTGTCACTCAGAAACCTGAGTCTGCTGTCCAAAATGGAAGGGGCACATGACTGGGCCCCAGAGTCGCCAAAGCAGCCAGGCCACTTGGATCAGCTTCAGTCCAACAAATGCAGGCTATCGCAGGGGCAACTGCTGGTCAGCCAGTCCTAGCTCTGGAATGACCCCAGGCAAGCACAGCGCATCAGGAAGCACACAGCATGGGGGAAACAAATCACCTGCTTGCACCCCTAAATTCTGCAGTCCTCTCAATTATGAGATTGGGATAAACAGGGTGTTTCACACCTTTCAAAGTCCCTCTCTCTCGCACTTTGTATACGGAAGTGTTGGTTTGTTCAGTTCACTTTTTCACAGCTATCATCCCACCCATGAAGTGGTGTAAATGACAGCCTACTCGCAGGGCCCATAGGCGAGTGGACTCTATTAGATTCAAGTTGCAGATTCTGCACTAGTTCTTCTTTTAAGCATTTCTCTTAATTTGTACTATATGTTCTGTAATCAAACCAACACTGCTGTAATACTTTTTTTATTTCCTGAATTTAAATTGCCATTTGTCACACTACCTAAATGAAGATACTGGCACCTTTTTTTTTAATCCAAAGTAGCTCCACATATGGGAGTTAGCACTTAAAGCCTTTTTAGAGAGAGTGTATACAGTTAACATATGAACAGGAGTGTATCACACTAGCTTTTTATTATTGTTATTCTGTAGAGTACTGTAGTCTCCTGAGGTCTGTAATGCATTCAAGGACTTAATGAGTTAAGTCATACTCTAAATGTGTCTGCTATGGTCCTACACCAGTAACTGCCTCAGATACGGGCTAATGAGAAGATCACTGTCTTTCATCATGAAAGTTATACCTGTAATAACTATTGATCTGTCCCTGGCTGTCACCTCATGCTCTGGCAATTGTTGGATATGGATGTTGGACAGTTCACGCACTGGAGAGAAAACTACACCAGGAAGGAAAAGTCTCTGTGTCAGGCAAGAGAGCATGGGCAGCCCCAGAGTTTGCACAGAGGGCCAGAGCCACGGCAAGGGAAAAAGGTCAGGACCGTGTGGCCAGGAGTGGGGAGGAAGGACTGAACCACTACATGAGCTCCAACGATCATGAAACGGCAAGTTTCATCTCAGACTGGTGTACAAAAAGCTCAACAACTTCCAGTGGCTCCAGAACAGGCTGAATTCACATGTGCAGTCTGAAATCAGAAAGTACTTTCACCTGTTGTCAATTCCCTGAGCCATCATGTTCTTCCATTTTCCTGATACAAGGCAGAGTGAGTACTGCTTTCCTCCAAAGAAATTATGCTCATTTATCAGTCACTGAAATCTAGTGAATGTTCTTCTCAGGTTTATAATTGGACACTTCGTGCTCTCCAAATTACTGGCATTTCTGTCACTCAAGGAAATTAAACACTTTGAAATACATTAATGAAATACAGCAATTTATCATTTAGAGCACTGAAACATAGGGAGATTAATAAATTAATGTCTAAGTATCCATGTAAGTATAGTAAGAATTCAGTATTTTGTGTGATGGTGTATCTTCCTGACTTTTCCACTGAAAACCTATTTGCTTAGGCCTCTAGTAGACTGAACTGGTAGACTTCTGGGTCAATGAACTAAGTGGAAATCTATAATACCGTACACTTTATAAATAATTGGAAAGATAGCTGAAAATAATTTAGGGAATGTCTAAACAGGAATATTAAACCACTTCCAAGCAATCTGCTTTCACATCACTGAAATATCTAAAATCACAGTAACAGCAAAGGTCAAGGGGTTTGTACCTAGCCAGCATAAAATAAATCCTGACTATAAATCAAGTTCTCAAACCAGCAAATTAAAAATTTGTTCATTATCTATCGGTCTTAATAAAATGTGAGGGAAAAAAAAAAAGCCAAGTTCCTGCAGAAATACTTAGTATTGAGAGGATATTGACAGAATATAACTCTCCTATCACAAGTAAACAGAAACATGAATCTCAGGGCCTCATTCTGTAAGGTACGGCTGGGCTCCTCTGAAGTTTAGTGTCCCAGCCAATATGACTTTCCTTGCTCGGGCCATTGGTGGAGATCAAGAGGGGATTGGAGAAAGTCCTTCAAATGGAGATGGATGGAAAGCCTCCCTGCCCAGGCTGGGATAACAGAGTCCCTTTCACCTCTCCTTCCCCTGGTAAACCCATATCCAGAGCAATTGTTACCCAGGGGCTGCCACCAGCGACTTTCTGCACACTGACAATTCAGTTTCCACCCATCCTGGTAGCTCTGAAGGCAGTCCTGCTCCAGGCTCAGCGTGGGAAAAGCAGGGGCTGGTCTTACCTCTCTGATTCCGCAGCTGAGAGAAGAGGTAACTGGGGGGGAGGATGGAGAGGACTACCCTGTACGTTACGTCCTGGGGAGGAGTGGCTGCTGGGGTGGGACAAGGACGCTGCCCCAGCTGCTGTTCCACTTCGACTTGTCTGTGTGCTGGGGAACAGGGCCGCTGAAAGCAAAAAGAGAGAAATAACCCTCATCAGGCAGGTGATAGCATTGATAGCTGACCAAATACTAACAGGTAACACCTCCCCTAAAGCTGTAGTGCCAATTCTTAGCAACTAACTGGTTTTTCTCATGTTGTTTTCTGTCCGAAGGGAAATTAAAAAAACACATAAAAAATAACTAAATAATCTTTGCTGCTCCCAAATGACACTTTCATAAAACCAGGGATGACATAGCTGTGCCCCTTGACTTGGGAATTTTGTCTGAATAAGGCTGCAAATCTTCTATAGCTTCCTGTTGTAGAAGAGGTGGCAAATACTTCCTAAGATATAAATTTTTAGAGCTAGTGAACAGAATATTTCACAGTTTTGTAAACAGTGAAATATTTTCTACATTTTTCCCTCAGCTGTAAAAATCTCTAATTTCTTGAAGAGGTCAACCCAAACTCAAATATTGCTATTATTGCCCCCAGGCTCCCCAGTAATGCATACAAAAATTTTAAACTAGCATTAACAGTTTCATAATTTGCTAAGAGGTTGCTCTTGTATACATTCCAAATAAGGAAAGGCTCTGGATGATTAAACAAAAAACAATATAGGACTCCCTCCGAATGTCCTCATTAGTTGACACCAAATCCTGTAACCTCATTTTTAGAAGTTCGTCAAATCAGGCAGTCAGAAGGTCAGACACTGATTACCAAATCCCTCTGAAAATCCAGTTACTCCATTATTTTTACTGTCATCTGTGTCAGGTAGCTTATGTCGAAGTTGAATGGCAGCCAAATACATGCTTTTAAATATTTTATGAACCCTGAGAACGAGTTAGATAGGCTGTCTACAACATGAAAATGATCTCGCACTGGTTGTCTGAAAATGATCTCTTGGTTGTCATATCTTCCAGTCTCTTTATAAAAAAGTATTGTTTAGGCCTAGTTTACAGAATAAAATTCTACCTATAAAACTTACGTTATGATAGTGAATATGTTGGAGCTAATGATTCAAATTTATTGATAAAATCCTAGAATTTAAACCAGTTCCCCAAAGGGCATTGTCACCAGTAAAAGATCTTTCTAGGCTAAAATACCTGCATGGATGCTGCAGTTCTAGCAGAACAAACACTGCTTTAGGAGTAACCCCACTATAGATCCATCTTCAAGAAAATTATTTCACAGGTCACAATTTTGAACGTTGCTCCCCAAGATCAAAAGGGTGAAAAGTCCACCTCATCTCCCAAGTGCTCAGGGTATTTCTGGAAATCCTCTATTCATTCTCACAAGCCAGGCTTTGTGACACACTAGATATTCACCAGGCTAAGGCAGAGTTAAGGAAAGGCTCAGGAGTTTAATTATGCTGTAGCCTCATTAAAGAGCAGTCCTGGACATCTTTCAGCTGGTGGAGATTACAAACAGTGCAAGATGACAGATAGGAAACCACTTTGTGAATAAAAACATCTAATATAGATGCTGCAGAAGTAATGTCAAAGTTTAGGGAAAGTTGGCATGAGCCACACTGGTGGGCAAAGCTGCAGGAGAGGAGGCTGCCCTACCTCATGGCCAGGAAGATCATCAAAAACGCCTGTGGCCGCCCTCGGCACTAGCCTCTACTGTTTGCTAATTCTTATACGGACCAGAGTCTCCTAGTCACAACCCAAGTGACAACAGAATCTGATAGTAGAAGGCATCCTGAACCTTAAGAAAGGTACAGAGAATGCAGATCCCAGAGGGAGGTGAGACATCACTTAAGCCAGCAGAGTAACTCACTAAGAAAGGGCTGAGGAAGAACTGCCCCTAAGACAGGGGAAGGTAGCTTTTGTTGTTTTTTCACTTTGCTCATGCACCTCAAAAATCACTCTCCACATCCGTCTCTCAGAGTAGCATCAAGACAAATGCAGAGGGGAAAACAAAGGAACGACCTTTTGAATTTATTATTTTATGCTTATATGCAGCGTGGAAGAAAATACTGAAAAACAACGAAATGCACATTCTGGCAGAGTAAGCAGAGAGAATATTTAACAGATCAGTACATTGCAAAGCAAAACCCTGATTATCTAAATAAAAACAGAGACTATTTAAATTATTCCTTACAAGAATATGTTAACTTGCATTTTTCCATGAGAAAAATATTAAAAAGTGTAAGAAAATACAATGACTTAGTTTCCCAGTACTGTGATCTTTGAGTTTAAAAGAAATTTCGTCAAGGCTGTCATTGATCAGGAGTAAGATGTCTGGACTATGACTGGGTTTCCAGCATAAGGTAGCAAGACTTGTTCTTCCCTGTCATAGCTGTTCTCTGCCACAACCATCATAAGGATTTCAGGCAAGTATTTTCTAAGTTGTGCTTGCACATTTCTAGCTGGCCCAGGCTGCAGTGGTAGCACAGGTTCCCACAGCACTGCCCAAGACCTGGTGACTCCATCCCTGGGAAAAGGTTATCTGCAGCCAGGCATGGGCAACCATCTGTCCTTTCTCTGAACTAGAGCAACGTAAAGCCCACTGCAATATTCACCATTGTAGCAGTACCTGCTACTGTAGTACCTTTTGGCTATGTTTCCCAGCAATTTCTCTGTACTTTTTTTCTGTTTCTGATGAAGAAGCAGTGCACAGTGTAAAGTAAAAGCTAACTATGGCAGGGATTAAAGGGGCAGGTAGGATATTTAAGGAAGAAGAGCATACATATCAGCTGCAAAAACATATTCCTGTACACAAGGTATGTTACATGATCACAGCATCACAGAACAGTGTACCTGGGCTCCCACAGTGCCTTGTGACGAAGCCTCCAAGAGCAGCACCATGAATGATGGTGTGGGAGACCATATAACACCCGTGGGCAGCACAATACATCTTTTGTCAGTGCAGCTTCTTGCTGCATAGAGGTACTGTGCTGACAAAAACACCTCCGTGGGCACCCAATGAAGTGAAATCACAATGCTGGCAGCTCCTTCCCAGTGGAAATGGTACTATTAAAACTTCCTAATGTAGACATGGCATTGGTCCAAGGTACTACCTGAATCTTGTAAATATCAGTTGAAGGGAAACATTATCAGCCATTGGCAGTCTACAGACTTAAGGCAGGCAACAAATACTGTCAGTGACAGGTCATTTTCCTAGCAGAGCTAGTCTTAAGAGACTGACAGAAAACTTTGGACACTACGAAACTGCTAGATAACTTGACCACTTTTTCTTGGGAGCTGTGTGTGTGGCAAGCTTTTCCAGTGGTTTAGCTGTTAAATGTGACTTGCTTGCTCAAAGTGCTGGCAGGAAATATCTACACAATTATGTAGATATCACACTATGAAGATAATAAGCCTGTCTCCAAAGTGTGTCTGTCACATAGACCATCTGCATTGATGGTCTCTGTATCTTTCTTCACATGTTCTGCAGGCAGATCAGAGATACTGGAGGCATCCAAGTACTGGAGGCACCTAGAAAGCTGGAGAGTTTACAAAGTCCAATCACTCAAGATATTTGCATAGAAGAAAATAAGTCTAGGAAAGCACTTTGTACAGTAACCCAGTCCCATTATTTGGAGACCTGTTCAATCAATCTCTGTCTTTTGAGATCCCTTACCTCAAATATTTAGAAATCTAAATGCTTAGAACATAAAGTGGTTTTGTGGTAAAGATCTTCCACATGTAAAAGTTGTCCTAAGAGACCACACCATCTACTAAGAATCTTTTCCCCTACTCCACAGCTCAGAAAATAGGAGAGGAAAATTAAAGAAGTAATTGAAGAATTACCAGCTGAGTCAGAATAAAAATCTCAGAGTTACTTTATAGGTAATTATAGGCCTCTGATAAAAATGGTAAAATGGTGCTTGCTTAGAGCCTCCCAATTGCTACCCAAGATACTCCCAAAGCAGCCTATAATATAAATAACAAAAGGTGTGCGGTTCTAATTTTTGAACGTTCTTTGATCTCTTCTCTGAGCTGGACATGATAAACATTTTCTAGTCTTGTTGCTGGATACTTGCAATGATGGGCAGCTGGACTAACTATTAGTTGAGAAAGGTGAACATCCTGGAAACTCCTGTAGTTACTGAAATTAAGAAATAATTAAATCCCTGAAGCAATAAAGTGGGGTCTGGATTGGGATTTAAAGTTGCTCCTGCCATGGCACCTTTATAACACACCCCTGCCTTTCAAGACAGATTCTCCTCTTTCAGTGGATTGCAGTTTCTGAAGTTCTGTCTCATGATGAAGATAGGAACTATAAATCATAGAATAGAATAGAATAGAATAGAATAGAATCATTAAGGT